AAACCAAATTTGTCAACGTTTGTTTCTCAAGTATCGTGAATTCTATAATAAGATTTGGGAATTTCTATTTTAACTCTATAATTTTTTCACGTTTTAAAAAGTCAGCAGTTTTGAAAAAAGCGCTAATAATTATATGGAAATACATCAATGTACAAAATTTACAAAATTGAAATAATGTTCGGCAACAATGTTAAAACATCTACGTATACGAATCGTATACGTAAATAATTACGCACTATGGTTCATCACACGTAGACAAGAAAATTCTCAGAGTTTACTAACTTGGGTGTTCACAATAGAAATTCCCTTTTATATCTGTACTGTACACTTGTTCTTTCAAATGTGATAGTCAAATAAATGCGCCATAAATGCGTTATGCAATTGTAAATATGACAATGAAAAAATTTATACATGTGCAATCATAACTATATATCGTGTTTGAGACTAACTATGTATGTGTAAGTAAAGAAATTCCCTCTGAGGCTAATTATACGTATGTAATCGGATAGTTTATTGAACATCTACTGTACTTACTGTACTTTTTCTTCTCTTAACAAAAAAATTTTTTTTTTACTATCATTTCTTTTATTCTTTTTTAGTGTTTTTTGTTTTGTCTTGTCAATCAAGACATCGCTGTAAGTGTACATGTCAGTCCACACTTTTCAGCTTGGAACCGTTATTTTATGTCAAGCTTAATAATATTATTATAAAGTGTAAAGGTGAGTTTTATTAAGCATAATATACAACCTTCGAGGCTTGGTCCCGTCAAAAGAAGAACTTGAAGTAACTTGTTAACTTTTTTTGTACTTCCATTAGAAAGGACACGGTACAAGTTAATAGTTACTCACACTTTAAGAAAATTTACAATCTTTAATACAAATTTGCGTGTTGGCCATTTAACTTTTTGCGATATCCGTTTTGGGTTGTGGTAATGCTGCGTTGTCTTTGTCTGTTGAAATAATTCATACATAGTTTATTAACAACGAAACTTTGCGATTTTTTTTTTAGATATTAATCAAAATCATTTCACTGATCTAATTCTTCGAGTTTTATATTGGTATGTATATTTGTTTTGTTATTGCTGTTGGGTGTGTATTTTTGGTGAACCTACCCTCTAAAGTCAATATGAACTCAAATACTTGAATATATATTTTCAAGCATGAAATCACGGTTATCATTTACTCATCCATTAGACGTTTCTTCACTTTTAATGATTGTATTAAGTTAGTTTATTCTCTTAATGAATTTTAATATACTTTACGCAGCTATGGTTGCTACTCGGAAGCAGGACTATGGAGTAGGACAAAACGGTTCAAAACATAATGACGGTAACAAAGATGAAATTCGTGAGCACGAAGCTGGTGGTTCTAATTTTGAGTTACCGTCTACTCAAAAAATAAATAAAAGTATTACCCCAAACACTTCGAGACGGCGACGAGCCAATCGAAAATCACAAGAGAAAAAACCGGTTACAAATAACATCAAAACACCTGTTCAAATACCTGATGATCAACCGGCAATTGTTATTCCATCTTACACCCAAAAAACGAGGGAGAGACCGTTAGAAGATCAACCAATTGAAAATTTTAATCCACAAACAATAGAAACAACAGAAAGGCCACCAATAATTGATAATATTGCTATAAATAATATACAGTAAGAAATTCAATCTTTTTTTTTTTTTTATTTTGTTA